CCCCCACTAAAAACGTGACCAGCTTTGATCACAAGGGCAAGGCAGTTTGGTAGTCCCCCAGACACGGGAATTGACGTGGCCAATTGTAATGACTAGTGTAGTCTCACAAAAGGCAGTTTTTAATTTTATTTTTTTAGTTTTTAATTTGACGTTTTTATTGCATCAACAAAGATGAATTTTCCCCCACAGGAATGACTCAATATATTTCTAAACCCCAAAGAAAGAGAAGTGCTGCTAAACTGGGTACGACTTCTGCCCATTCTGTTTTGCAGTTAGCTCCACTAACTGTACTGGAAATCCTCCCCCAAGCTAAACCCCTGGATACATGTGGAGGGGAAGGCAGGCTGGCGAGAGGCACTGCCAGCTGCAGAACCTCAGGACCTGCTGCCCTGCTGAGATAAGCCAAGGCACCTTCAAGCCTCTCCCTGATGGCCCCTTTGCAGGGCATGTGGAGTGGAGTCAAAACCCTGACAGGAAGGCTAAGATGAAAGAGAAAGCACAGAGCCCATTGGCAGAAGAGGAAGGAGAAAACTCCTGTGTCCCTGCTGTACAAGAATTGTCTCCCCCAGGACGGACAGGGAACAGAGCCTTCTACAACACCATTTTCAGGATATAGGAGATTCCCTAGACTCCCTGTTAAACTATCAGACAGCTCATGTAGGTGCCAAAAGCAGAAGAGAAAGGAGCAGGGCAACATTTATCCTGCTAGCCTCTCTCACACAGGAAGGGCCTATGGTTCCAACCAGAAATTCTGTGGGCCAGGAAAGCAAAATGAATGAGGCCCAGCACCTGCACCTACACCCGCCAAGCCTTTCTGGGCCATGGTGAGCTGCCCGAGCTTTGTTCCAGCTCCAACACATTTGCACATAGGGTGCATCCCTATTGTTACACAGGGGTGATCTAAGGACTCGCCTTATCAGGACAACATGCAGCCCACGTGAATACAGGCACTGTGCTTCATCTGGATCTTTGACAACTACGTGGTAGGGTGCAGAAAGTGAACTCCAAGCCTCCTTACCCTTCACCTCCTGGGACATTGCTTTAACACCACCAGATCCTGAGAGTGGGAGGGAGGGAAAGAGAAATAATAATGACCTACTTTATGTAAAGAGTTTTGATAACCTCTTGGGAGAGGCTCCAGGGAAGCACATGATCCCGCTCTTCTCTGCAGAGTGCTGACCGGGGTTAGGAGGGGTAGTGGTGGGGAGTATATGTTGCATCTTCTCCATCCCAGCCATGGTGGCTGTGTGACTAACGGGCCTCCCCTTTGCCTTCACACTCTGTGTTACCCCTCACTGTAGCAGAGGAGCCTTAGTCCATCACCGTACTGATTAACTGAGCCAGGTTGAGTTTTTCCCACAGAAAGCAAGAAAATAACTCCAGCACCCTTAGACCGACATGGCTGCGAAAGGAACCCAGAAGCTATGTCACATGTCAGCGCAGGGTAGGCTTACACCCTGAGTCAGGCTAACAGCCTGGAGTACTTCTACTTCTACTGCCCACGTGGCCTGAGACTGCTTCCACCTAGCATCTGGATCTGACATACAACAGCACCAATGGGACAGAACAGGACAAAAAGCACAGATGCCTCACTGCTACTGATGGCTCCCTCCTGAGCCCAGATGAGGTATCCCTAAGCACAGCAGCTCACAGCTGGATCCTTGGGGCATTCCCCCTTGGGCTGGGGAGATTCAGATAAAGAAAACAGAAAGCACTGCAGTGGAGATCTGTGCCAGACTCCAGCTCCTGCACCTCAGCCTCTCACTGTCCTCCTAACCCTCTTTCTGACTGCCCTCACGTGAAGAAATGGTACCCTCTCCCCCATGGTTCTCTTCTCCCTCCCACCAAGCTGGGATTTGGGATCCCACCTGGATAATGCCCCAGTCCCAGTCCCAGCATTAATCCCTCATTCTATGGCACAAGGTAGTACTGAGGAGTACTGGTCACAGAAGTGCTCTTTTGGGAGGATATGCTTGCAATATCCTCCTAAAAAAACTATTCATGGTGGACACACAGCACCTGACACTCATTTCCAAGAGGTACTACTGCCTCTTTGCTAGTCTTCTGAATGGCTGGCACGGGGTCCCTCCGGAAATAAGATAACTCAGATTCTTCCCTCAGAAGACAAGCGCAGAAGCTTCCTCATTCCTCCCCCCAGGAAGCTTGATATAGGCACCAGCACTGTCTTAGGCCCACGGCCAGATTAACTAGTTGCCACAGCTGCCCAACCCCAACTTGGAGTGTGACCCACTTCCATTCACTAGACCAAATACCCATAATACAAAAACAACGGGAATTAAAGGCAACTTCGTATAAAGGGTACGGTAGATAGGCGAGTGGATCTGAAACTCATCCTGGACCCACTGGGATGTGGTCCATGAATATGATCCAGGAAAATCACTAAGAAACCTCTCCCCATGTGATTATTACAGGGATGAGGGTTTCATTTATATCCCATTTGGCTCACCTACTCCATTTTAAACCCAGAGTCCTCTATGTCTAGGCGGTCAGAGGGCTGGCCAGGTTTGGTGCATTGGATGAGATATATTACATTTCTGGAGGTGTACCTGTAAGATCCAGGAATGCTGATGGCTCTGCTGTGGGGTGTAATGATTGTGGGGGTGGTGGAGATATGTTGGCAGGTTTTGCATTTCTTATCATGGCATGGTCTGGATCCATTCGGTGTGTTCTGGGCCTGAGGAAGTTTGCTTCTGGTGATGAGGTTAGCGAGGTTCAGTGCTTGTCTGAAGGCTAGGATGGGCAGTTCTGGGAAGATCTCTCTAAGAACAGGGTTTTCTTCTAGTATGGGTTCCAACTGTTTGAGGATTTTCCGTATGGGTTCGAGGGAGGGGTGATGTCACAATCAGCGGTCACTACACCCCACAGCAGAGCCATCAGCATTCCCAGATCTTACAGCTGCACCTCGAGAAACGTAATATATCTCATCCAATGCACCAAATCACCTGATGGAAAATACGTAGGAGAGACCAAACAACAACCGTGCACCAGAATGAATGCACACTGGAAATCTATTAAAGACAAGAATACCCAATTACCTGTGGGGGCACGTTTCTCACAAGAAAACCACTCTCTCTCCAATCTCTCAGTTCCAGCCCTCAAAGGGAATTTACAAAACACTTTCCACAGATGAGCCTAAGAACTTCACTTCACCAACCTCCTGGATACAAAAAATCATGAACTAAATATAGACATTGGATTTATGACACTTATAACCTGCCTAACAGCCGACTTCCCAGGTACCTCTCCACTATTTACCTGCTACATTCATGCCCCTTCTCTCTCCCCCCCCCCCCCCAGCCTGTCTCTCACCTACTGACTCCTCAATCTATATTTTCACTGACTGTCTGTCTTGCATGCATACCAGCCCAGCCTCTGGCTTCTTTACTATTCATTCCATCTAGGAAGAGCACACACCAACTGCAGAGGCTTCCTCAGCCTGACAAAGGGTATTTAAACCCAAAAGCTTGCTAAAAAATTTTTTCCAACCATTTAAGTTGGTCTAAAGATATCAGATTCACCCAAAGAACCTTGTCTCCTTATGCTTAATATGGTTTCTCCATTTATCAAGAGAAAAATCTGAGTGTAGCCTCTGTGGAACCTGGGAATGCCTTGCTTCAAGAGCATACAGGCTGGTGCGGTAGCATGACACCAGGCAGCGTTGCACAAACTGCAATGACACAGGATGGGAGGCTGTTGGGGAAGAAAGAGCTACAGCAGAGCAACTGCTGTAGGACAGGGGTGGGCAAAATGCGGCCTGCAGACCAGATGCTGCCCGCCAGACCACTCTATCTGGCCTGCAGGGCCCCTGAAAAAATTAGAAAATTAATATTCATCTGCCCCAACTTCCTTTCATGCGGCCCTGAATGGCTTGCCAAAACTCAGTAAGTGGCCCTCTGCCCAAAATAATTGCCCGCCTCTGCTGTAGGACCTCTTTAGTTGTGGGGAGGAGATAGCTTGGATTGCACCCGGTCCTACTGCAATCCACATAAAAAGCAAACAGAGGGGACAAAAAACTTCAGCCACTCACTTGGACCTGATGCAGGCACTACTGCTGCTTGAGAAGAGCACTGCCCAGTTGTTTAAAAGAATGACACATATCAGGCAAAAATATGCAAGTGCCAGTCACTGGATTACAGTGCAGCAGTGGACAGATGCAGAGAGCATGCCTGTTCTGGATAAGAGAGGCACCACTGGTTTTCTGTGCCCACCTTGACTCTGGTGCTGATTCACCCGCCATTTCACAGTGGCTGGTGAAGTAGCAGGTTCCCCAATCCTGACAGATATACACCATTTAGTTCACTTCTCCCCAGCCAGCTTCTCTCTGGTTTCTGAGCCTTTTCTGCTCCTTTTGCAGAGGGTGCCTCCTGGACTGTTTTTTATTACTAGCAGGAAGCAGTTCCACTGCATCCAACTCATTGCTCCACCTTACAACTTACTGTGCTCCCATCCACTAAGAAAAGACTTTGTTTTAATCCAGAGTTAGCAGGGTTGGGACCCTCATTTGAACAGAAGAGATTCGGAAAATGGATCTCTCCAGAGCTCAAGTAACTGCTTCATTACAGAGGCAAACACTGAATACAGGCATCTGGCAAACTCACCTGTTCTCTTGTGAAATTCTTATCAGCTCCCAACAAGTATGGGGTGATGAAGCTCTCTCCAGGTCTGAGCTGGGTCATGAAGCCATAAAAGCAGAGGTAAAATACTTGGAGTTTCCAGCGCTGAGCTGGTGCTGGCTCCACTGGTTGTTTTGTCGAGCCATCATCTTCTGTAGACATGGCTCTGTCTCCCTACTCCAGTACCTGAATGTGAAAGTCTTTTTCCGGGAGGCTGTCAGACCGGCTGAGCCTCTGTGGGGCTGGTCTCTTACTTGCTGTACATAGTTTCCAACACATAGATGCCTGCGCTGTAGGAATTTCTGTGGATAAAGCAGAATTTGGCAATGGATCAAATTCCTCTACAAAACAACGGCAAATAAATACCCACTTCTTTCTCCCTCCAATGCATTCTTGTTGCGCATTAGCTTTTGCTTATCACTGCAAAGTTGTAGCATTTCCTTTTCAGATACAGGAACCACATTTTGGAAAGATAGGTGTTTTAAACAAAACATATCTAAAACCCCAATAAGTCTATTTTACCAGGGTTGGATTTTTACTTATCTTTACTTTTCAGCAAATTCCTGAACACCCCAACCTTGCCAATCTAAAAGTTGGTTGACTTGTTTTGGAAGTGAATTTTCACTTCCTCAAGTTACTACTTATTTTTATTGCAAGCAAAGGGGCTTCTGCCAGAAGAAAATAAATGTTATAGACACTTACAGTCCCACAGAATTAACTAAATAAATGGTACATCAGCTTAAACTCCCAGAGGCCACTCTGACCCCTTCCCCTGCCCTGTGCTCCTGTCCTGAACTGCTGCTCTGCTTTCTGCTCTCTCTCCTACCCCTTTGTTCCCTGCTTCCTCTCAGTTGGCTGCATGGCACACAGTGGCTGCCTGTGCCATTTGTGTTGCAGGTTGGCTACCCCTGTCCTAAAGGACTATAAAGATCCAATTTTGTTTCTGGTTTAGGCTGGTTCTAATTGCAGTCCATCAAAATAGACTTCACAACAGTCCCAATAAGACAGCTAGAGGTATTTAGCCATGTCAGTCTGAAGGCAAATCAAGGTAGGGCAGGGTGGCACCTTAGAAACTATATGGTTCAGAGAGGCACACCCAGAGTGAGGGAGGAAAGATGAGGAAGGAATCGAGAGCAACTTTAACAGGCCCTTTTATTTCTAGTGAGTTTGGCAGCTGGAGCGGTAGGCAAGCACAATAAATAATAGGATTTGACAGCTCACAGAGTAGACTGTGAAACCCAGCTAAAAGTTAATTCGTATGTATGAAATAGATCTATCCATGTTACATATTAGCTGTAAAGCAAAAGGGACTTTAGACAGTCACCCACACTCTAACAAGAGTTAAAACATTCCTTCACTCCCTAGTATATATTTGACACACAGGAACTGTATTAGAAGAAAATCAGAATTGCAAAATCTAAAGTTAGGAAGTGCCAGATTTCAGGTGTCTTGTGTGACCTTAATTCAGCACCCTTTCATATGTGCCTTATGACTGTCTTTAATTACAAGATCTCATGCTATTTCTTGCTCCAGATACTGCTTCATTGAGTACACTGAATGGTCTTACTCTAGGGCTGAATTAGAGCTGTGTACTGAAGACTGTCATCTGGGGGAAACCCATCTCATTTGTTGTAGAAATAGAAGGTGTCTAATTAGAGAGACAAGAGATTTCAGGAAAAGACAGGATTGTCTCATGGTTGAGCACTGCCCTGAAGAACATGATTCTATCCCCGCTGTTGCCACAGAGTGTGCGAGATACTGGGCAAATCACTTAAAGCATTTTTTTCTCAGGAGGTCACTACCTCTGCATTCCTCACTGTCTGGCTGTCAAATCTGAGACTCAAGAATTTTATTGGTAGAAGGGCTGAACATTCACTGCTACTGCTTAAAGCAGTGAGAACTTTTTACATGCAAACTTCTACACACTGTTCTCCACTTGCATGCACATCAGATAAGTGCATAATTCACTTAACTGCATAACACAGTGCCAATCCTAATTGTTGCCTGTTCCTTAAATTACAACAAGTGCTGGTTATCTGCATATGGGCTTAGATGTATGGCATCTTTCAATCCCATTGTCCACAGTAGTTACTAACTGTACTCTGGTTAACTGTGCCAGAAACAGTGAAAGGGAAGAAGCTGTAAAAGTGCAGCTATTAGAACCCTTGAAAATGATGGGAGCTGGTTACTTTCATGAACTCTAATACCAGAGAAGCAAAGGGGCAGCATATTTATAATGCACATTGTTTATATTTAATTTGGATAAGTGCATACTCTGGTAAGAACAAAGCCCTTTTTCAGCCCAGGGGCTATGCACTTAAATGGAGTACACTATCTAACACCACATATTCAGAAAAATCAAGTCATAGTCATCTCAAATTGGGCACCCAGAATCAGTGGCTCTTTCTGACTACAATTTCTTTCTCTCTCTCCAAGCTCCCTACCTATAAAAACAAGAATAAAACCACTCCCCCACCTCACGCGGGTGTGAAAATAAATTGTGAAAATAAAATCAGAAACATCTGAGAAGTGATGAGCAGCATTGAGAACAGAGCAGCACTGCCCTGAGCAAGTGTAACAAGTCTCCAGAGCAGGGTTTGGATAGGGAGCAGTAAGTACAGCACTGGGGACACACTGAACAGGGAGGAGAAAGCAAAACATCGAACAGCTGATCATTCAGGGATCACTGTCTACACTGTGCACCAAGTAAAGCAGGATTCTAGGGAAATCATATGAAACTGTGTAATTAAAACAAGTTTCATAACGCATGTGCCCAAAGAGCTCAATATAAAGTTCCACAACTTGAAATCTGGCATGTCCCAACTTTGCCATTCAAACGAATGGCATTTTAGTTTGGGCTTTTCCATGCGTTTCAAAAATGTAAAATGAAAACACAAGAAATCCCAGACACTCACATGTGCCTTCAGCAGGGTTATAACCTTATGATTGACCACAGACCTCTGCTACTTGGGCTAACAGAATAACTGATAGCAGTCCTTTTGGTGGACCTGCACGAGAGTGGAGGAATCAGACACACATACCCAGTGCCAGATGGCTCCACAGGCATCTGCTAACAGCAGAGGAATGGTGAGACTCGGGGATACTGCATTCAATTCAGGCTCTGGAAGGGAGTGGATTGTATGGGGCACAAACTCCTCTGCCCCATGTCCTCCAACCTCTTCCTGCCTAGTTCTCTCTTCTTCACTCCTGCCTCGTTGTGCCAATCTTTCTCTCTAGCTAGCCAGTCCTCCCTCTCCTTATCCAACTGTCTTCCTATCACCTCTTCTATACCACCCGCTGCCTTTCCCTTCCTCCATGCCAGCTTCAGTTTCCCTTTCTTTCCCCCCACTGATAGAAAAGGATTGGATGCTTCCCCACCACCCCAAACAGGCACCATATTCCAATGGACTCCATGACCCAGGTCCAACTCTCGTCTTCTCTGTGTTTAATCAAGTAGCTTTCTTGTCAATAGTGCCTGGGCCCAAACAGGCAGGCACTGACAGCACAAGACAGAAAAACTCCCTGCCTATCTGTTCAAGGGAAAACTTTCTAGAAAAAAGAAAATCAGCCAGTGGGGCAGACAAAATTTCAGTGTAAACAGCTAAAGTCTGGAACAATTACAAGCACTTAAAAACAGGATCTTATAACAGGAAATGTTGGGCAATGTTAACAACAAGCAGTTCCAAAAGCCATGCCTAGACCAACTATGCTTGTTTAAGTGCATAGTCTCTGGACTGATAAAAGGCTGTAAACTACCCTGGAGCATGCATTTATCCAGTTAACAGGTTTATCTGAAATTAACAATTAATGACTTGTTTACATTAAGTAAAAAAGGGCTCTCAAGCTATAAGAAACTGAAAAATGAAAGGAGTTTCTTCTGTATCTTCTCATTGAACAGTTAATTTTATATATACCTGCCAAATAGCTACTCAGACCACTACAGTCTAGTCTAAGGATGTTCAGGGGAAGACGCACGTATTCTGTGAGGGGACTCTAGTTTCAGAGGGACTAAACGGTCCTTTATCTTTTCAGGCCCTGCAATCTCAAGGAGGTAAAACCCTTCAGTCCCAGTTCAAACACAATTATATTAGCAGCTGAGAATGAACCTGCTGTCCCATAAGCAGAAACTCATCCATGTAACATACCTAGGGCTGCTTGCTCAATCGTGCAGGGACAGCACTGCAGGACTAGAGCATGAGCCTCAATAGTATGAAATCATATCATTAAAGCATGTTTCATAATACACGTACCCAAAGAGCTCAATATAAAGCTTGCTCCCTACCCCATTTCTAACCAGAAGTACAACAGTAAGATCAAGTCCTTAAGAAGATGCACCCCACTCCCTTTCCTAGTTTGCCCTTCTATGATTCAAGATCTTTTATTTGAGTGCGTTCGAGAGAGGTGTCCTCTGAGAAGTCATCGTGCATCTCTCAGAGTAATTAGGAGGGAAACCTGGGCACGCTTCAGCCTACCACTGCCTGCATGCAAGAGCCAAGCTTTGTCCTCACTGCAAAAATAGGTCTGTTTTTTAACATGAGGTGAACAAACTGCCTGCTATCCTCAGTTAAAAAAAAAAACTTCCCAAGGTCACTGCTAGGTGTGGGCACAAGGTTGAGTTTACCAGGCGGTAAAATATACATACTGCACTGCCACCAAGATTTTCCCTGCCAATAACTGACGTGTTAGTTACGCCAGGGTGAAAAATGAAAAAGACCACCCTCCGATAAGCTCGTCTTCATATCCACCTCCACATTCAAAGGATGCACAAAAGGCCTTGACACGGAATCGTGAGAAGTCCCTCCCCAAAGCTCCAGCCCCCCTACTGGAGGGTCTGGCCCTGAAGTTTAAATAAAGTCCTTGTTCTTTCATAGAGCAACTGTAAAAACATTCAATGACAAGGAAGAAAAAAATGACTGTCTTCCCATGGAGAAACAGCACACAAAGTGAGGGCAACTTCATGCTCAAAGGTTCACAGAGACGGAAGGATGGTGTTGATGATGTTCCCCTGATGCTGTCTCCTGTGCTTGCAGTCCTGGCTTGAATTTATGAGGGCCTGTACGTGGATCTGGTTTACATGGGGATCAGATAACAGTGGGGTGGCTGAAGCATAAAGCTCTACACAGCCTTTGCTCCTGTGGTCTGGTATTTTGTAAATATCCCAGCTTGTTTGTAGTACTTCCCGTATCAAATCTCTGTGTTGATACTGTGCTGTTTCCCCACAGGATATTCCTTTTACAGCAGTTACTAAGGAAAAAAAACTGTATGAAGTTTAAATGGATACTCTGATTTCAATTTAAGGGCAGCTTTATTTTAATTTAGTTTACACTTGTTCCTAACTGACTTAAACAAAAATCAGAATGCCCACACTACCATTTACACTGACCGAACTAGTGCGTTTGATAGCTGTAGGTTCATTTAAACAGCAGCTCTCCTTGTAGACAATCCTGTAGTTCCAGGTTAAGCATGAACAGAAACAGTCTTCTTAAAATTCCTAGACTGCTCCAGAATGCATTAGCCCGGGATAAATGATGGATTCCAATATGTTGTTTCAGTGAATAGCAAGACTAACAACCTCAGCCCCAGAGCAGGTGATTGCAGCCCCCCTGTCCAAACAGGTGCAATGCAAGGAAAAACACCCCGAGCTTCCTTGCTCTCACTGGCCCATCAATCTCAGCCCTATCCAGAGTCCCACCTCCCCAGATAATGGGTAAATCTCAAACCCTGTCACACTCTTCCATAGAGTCACAGGAATATTCATGAAAGAAACCTGGGTGAACAAAGGAAAAAAGCAAAGAGCTGGCAGATGGCACATCTTGGAGGACAGCACTTACAAAGTATGACTAAAGTCTTCCATACTGCAAGCAATCTTTGGCCAGTCCTACTGGCAGCCATAGCACTACTCCAGTAAATAAAATGATGGGTATATAAGCATTTGCAGGATCAGAGTTACTGCAGAACTGATAGATGAAACCATGCTGCCAGCCAGAGGCCCTAGGCTCATTTTCACTGCCACTTCAGTTCAATTTATTTTTTAATTACCATTTGTCCTTTGACTAAGCACGTCCAATACTTTGTGCTCAAATCACATTATACATGACTACAGATTACTCACACAACCCCAAATGCCCCGTGCTGCATTGAAAGGTATGAGGGAAGAGCCACCCAACAATTTGTCTCACTTATGTCCTTGTAAGATGCTCAGCCATCATAGGGATAAGCACCATGCATCCCCCGATAGACAGGCATGTGACCTCTACCCAAATAAACAGAAAAAAATCAGTGACAATTATCACTTTATTTTTCATTAAAGGGCAGACCCAGCCTTCCCAACAGTGAGGGCCTTACAGATAGGAACATATAACAACGCCCAGCTCCAGCCTTTTATGGGCCCGCTATCAGATTGGCACTGCACAGAGCCACCAACACTCCCCAGCACAAGCAGTGCCACAGGGAGGATGGAAGCTATCCCAAGGCTGGGTAGCTCCAGCTCCTCTGTTGCCTGCAGACAGATTCCTCTTCCTAACCAGATCCCTGAGGTGCAGCCCAATGACTCTGGCTGTGCTTAGAGACAAAATTAAGGGTCAAGTGAACAACTGTCACCTGGAGTGAAAATTCCGAGTAATGTGAACAGCAAAATATCTAATCACCCTATATTTAGGACCTAATCCAAATGACACTGCCGACTGGAGGTGTTAGGAAATCCTCACCTTGTGAATTCTTGATTGCACCTGCCCCAAGACAAAAGGGAGGAAGTCAGTTGATAGACACTTTATGCCACTGGAGTGCTGGATATGGCATAGAGACAGTCAGCACCAACCTTGGTGATTAAAGTGGCTAAATACAGAGACTCCCTGACCATCTTTCAGCCCCAATGCTCAAGCAGCATGCCTGGATCTGAACCTGGATCACCAAAAGCTATATTAAGGCCTTCTCTACATGAGGCATTTCATCAATTTAACCTACGGCCTACAACACTCCCTGGAACACTGGAACTGTCCAGCTGCACCATTCAAAAATCACCATCCCCTTTCAGACGTGCCATCCAGCTTTGTATAATGCCCTGCAAGCTCAGCGACGCAGACAGCACTCTGAGTCTGTCACTACTCACCTCACATTCTTCAGCTAGATGAGGTTCTTTGTGTAAATGTGATATTTTTTTATTAGACCAAGTAAATAGTTGGAAAAATTGTTCTTTGCAAGCTTTGGGGTTACAAACACCTTTCTTCAGGCTTGTACCCGAAAGCTTGCAAAGAACAGCTGGAGTACTGCATCCAGTTCTGGGAGAGTTGAGGGGGTCCAAAGGAGGGCCATACGTATGATTAGAGGTCTGGAGAGCAGGCCATATGAGGAGAGGCTGAATGACCTGGGAGCGTCCAGCCTGGAGAAGAGAAGACAGAGGGACTTGGTGCCAGCCTACAAGTATATAAGGGTTGTACATCAGGGCCTGGGGGAGCATCTGTTCACCAAGGCACCCCAGGGAAAGACAAGAAACAATGGACACAAACTGCTAGATCACTTCAGATTGGACATAAGGAAAAATGTCTTTATGGTTTGAGTGTCCAGGGTCTGGAACAGACTGCCCCCAGAGGTGGTACAATCACCTACCTTGGAGATCTTCAAAAAACGACTGGACTTGCACCTTGTCATATGTCCCCAGCAGTCTTTCTTGCCCAAGCGTAGGAGGGCTGGACCTAATGATCTTGTGAGGTCCCTTCCAGCCCCTAACAGCTATGAATCTGTGAACAATTTTTGAAGCTAGTTAGTTGGTCTAGGAAAAGATATCACATTTACCCAAAGAACCACATCTGCCTGTGTCCTTAGACCATTCTATCTGGCCTCTAAAATATTCAGAAAATTAATATTTATCTGCCCTTGGTTCCCATCAAAAATGACAGGAGCCAGAGGCAGTAGGACCCAAGGGAAGCCCTGGCAGCCTCCTGCAACAGCAGGGCCCACCTGGCCCCGCCCCCCATTTAATGAAAATGGCTAAATTGTGTTTAAGGATCAGCTT